CCCGAAGATTCGGAGGAGCTCCGGTTGTGCAACTCGTTTCGAATATGCTCCTTAATCGTCTCCCAGCGGATGATGGGCGTGCCTCCTCAATGAGCACCAGGCTCGAGTGGATCAGAATGAAGGCGTGACCGGATATATCGAAGCCCTGCCACAAATGACCGGCCTTCAGGCAGCTGGACTTGCTCTGGTAGCCTGTAAGAAAACGGCAGAGTAATTAAAATTTTTCTATGCAGGATCCGCTGGATATATTAGACTTACCCTTGGTGGTGCAGCGACCGTAGGAGGTCTCAACAATGTTAAAGAGCTTCGTCCAGAAGAACCAGAAGAAGGTGGCAATGACGATGCGCGGAAAATGGTGGCGCAGCATCTTCTTATGATCACCGCAGGTAATCGTATGCAGACAGCACCAGGAAGGGCACAGCGAAGAGCAGAGTCCAACCCAGCCCACCTTCACGAAGTACATGTTGAAGAGGTTGTCTGATCGCGCAAAGTAGGTCTTTGGGAAAGGCACAAAGTCCCCGATCACGGAGATCACAAAGAGACTGCCTAGATACAGGGCCACCTTGAGGTGTTGAAGAATATGGTCTTCTTGCACAGATGGATCACGCCCATGACCAGGATCTCTCGTATGCTGGTGGGCGCCGCGGTTGGTCTCGTGCCGCGCGCTTCGGCCCGTGTGATATCAGGGCCCCGGGTCTGAAGTTCATGTTTGAGCCGGATGGGGAGCTGGGATTGGAGCCAAGATTGGGCCGTAGGGGTCGCCGCTTGGTGGCCATCTCGCTTTGTGCCAAAAATAAAGAAGGCCAGATGGAAACTGCGTTGTTGCGATGCCGTTTTTGGTTATGCTGCGGCGGCCGAAAGTGAAAGCGGAAGAATTGTACGTGTCAAAGTTCGTCGAAGGGTTTCCACACTTTACCTGAGCTGCACCTGTCTGACACTGCTACCATTCCTTTGGCCGACACTCACGGCTGATTTTTCCGGGGATTCGATGAACCCCTTCTTTGTTCCCGACGGTGATTTTGTACTTTTATTATGGCCAAAATTTACGTGTTGCGCCCAGTAAAAAATAGAACAGCTGCTGCACGGGCTGAAAGCGCTACCCAGAGAATGGCACTTGCACTGCACCTGCTGCGCAGTGAATGGCCCTCGATCAGCTGTTCAAATTTAGTTTTTAGCTTTCATAGCTTTAATTGCCGGTTGGACGACGTCAATTAGGCGCAGCGGCATGTACAACTCGGCCAAGCAGCTGCAGCGCGTGCTGACGGCGCGGGAGATCCGAAAGACGTTCCTCGACCACTTCACCGTCAACCATGGCCACAAATTCGTTCGCTCCAGCCCGGTGGTGCCCTTCTGCGATCCCACGGTGGCGTTTGTCAACGCGGGCATGAATCAGGTGAGGTAACAGACAATCTGAGGCTATTCTCCTCTTATCCAACTACTATCTGTTCCAGTTCAAGTCCGTGTTCCTCGGCACGGCAGCGGCTCCCCACAAGCGGGTGGTCAACTCACAGAAATGCGTCCGGGTGGGCGGCAAGCACAACGATCTGTCCGTGGTGGGCACAGATGGCTACCATCATACCTTCTTCGAGATGCTGGGCAACTGGTCCTTCGGGGACTACTTTAAGGTGGGAGCACAACTCGAGTTTCTGTTAGCTTTAAATAACTTCTTCTGGTGTTTTCCAGCGGGAGGCATGTGCCATGGCACTGGAGCTACTCCGCGGTCCCTACAACATCGACCCAGCCGCTTGTATGTAACCTACTTTGCCGGTGACAAGGTGCTAGGCATCCCTGCTGACTTGGAGTGCTTCGAGATCTGGAGGAGTTTGGGGTACAATTGTTATATAATCAAAGGAGCGTTACGTTTGTTACATTTGAAGTTTATGTCCTTGCAGCTTTCCCGCCTCGCGTATCCTTCCCTTTGGCTGCACAGACAACTTCTGGGAGATGGGCACCACCGGGCCGTGTGGTCCCTGCACAGAAATCCACATCGATCATCGTCCGGATCTTGGCAGTGTGGAACAGCGCGCAAAGCTGGTAATGCAGGCCGCTCCGATCTCACTGAGCTATGGATCTCGTCTTCATACAGTACAATCGGTAAGGAGGGGTGTCATCTTTAATTCCATGACAAAATCATATTAATTTCATTTTCCAGCCTGGCGGACGGATCAATCACAGAGCTACCCGCTCATCACGTGGACACTGGCATGGGCTTCGAACGTTTGACCGCTTTACTGCAGAACAAGACTTCCAACTATGATACAGACTTGTTCACGCCAATCTTCGACAGCATACAGCAGGTGGCGAAGGCACCGGCTTACGGCGGAAGTTTCTCGCCGAAGCATCGGTAGATACCAGCTACAGAATTCTGGCGGACCACGCGCGCATGGTTACCGCGTGTCTGGCCGATGGAATGCTTCCCGATCAGAAGTATGTTTAGTATTCGCACCTTTTCTCAGCTAATACCTGTCCTATTTTAGCCAAAAGCTGCGTCGTGTGCTGAGAAAGGCTCTAAATATCTCCGATCATGTCTTCGGTCATGAGAAGCTGTTGACCCAACTAGTTCCTATAGTCGTGGAGACGCTGGGCGAGGCCTATCCAGAGATGTCTTCCCGCCAGCAGGCAGTCGTCGATCTTATCAACCACGAGCAGGAGGTGTACAACAACCTGCGCGAAAGTTCTTCAAAGCGTTTGCCGAGGTACTCACAGAGTTTCCCAACCTAGACGATATTGATCTTATGGAATGTCCAGGCTTTGTGCCTGCCTACCGGGAGTTCCAGGTTCAGCGCAGCCGATTTCCAAATAACACCATACCGGGTGACTTTCTCTACAAGCTGACTGACACCTATGGTCTCACGGAAAGAGCTTTCTCAAGCTGGCCGAGCTAGAGAACATGAACTGTGATCTGGAGCGCTACAGAGCGGAGGTTTCGCTGGCCAAGATCAAGGCCAAAGGCGGCCAGCGAGAAAACGGAGAAGCACTCTGCGATCTAGCAAGCGATCAACGCATTGCAGAGGCCCAGGCGAAGCTAACGAAGCGTCTGACAGCCACCGACAACAGTCACAAGTATGTCTACACCTTCGACAAGGAAAGTGATTCCTACAGGATACCGCCGCTGAGGAGTCGCGTAGTGGGAATGCTTCTCAACGATGCGGAGGTGTCACGCACCCAAGCCAGTCGTCTCCAAGAGCCCTCCACCGACATTATTTCCATTGTCACTGCCTCCAGTAACTTCTACTACGAGTCTGGGGACAGCAATCCGACGAAGGAAAGATCATTGTACAAAATAGCTGCGACCAGAGCAGCCTCACCTGCTCAATGTGATCTGCGTGAAGCATCTCAACGACTGCGTAGTTCACATGTGCAGGTTACCTTCCTCCCCCTCAAGCGATACCTTCGAGCTGGCCATCGGAGACGAAGTGGAGCTACAAGTGGACGCTGAGCAGAGGCAACTCAACACATGCCATCACACAGGTGAGTCACAGCAGAGACTCACAGCTGCAACTCTTTTAAAAATTAAATTAATCTAACAATTTCGTAGCTACTCATCTGCTGAACGCTGCCATCCGCTCGCTCTTCAACAAGGTCACCTACCAGGTGTCTAGTTCGGTGACCAGCGATCAGTGCAAGCTCGAGGTCGGACTCCTGGGCAAGCGCATCCAAAAGAGCGATGTCCAGCTCATCGAGGATCTGATCAAGTGAGTTAATAGCCCGTTCATTTCTTTCTTTAATGATAACCACAATAACCTCAACTGCAGCCGCATAATTTGCTCCGCGACGCCTGTTCGGGTGGAACTATTGAGTGCCGCCCAAGTGCTGCAACAAAATGACATTACTATGGTGCCCGGCGAGGTGTATCCGGAGCAGGGCTTGCGTCTAGTCAACGTAGAAAGCCCTGAACTGCAACTCAGCTCCAAGGAGCTGTGCTGCGGCACTCACGCCACCAACACAATGGAACTCTCCTGCTTCTGCATCGTCAATCTCAAGCAAACTAATCGGGCGCGCTTCGCCTTCACCGCTGTGGCTGGCCAGGCGGCGGAGAATGTGTGTTAACGCCCCAAAAGAACGTAATTTCTGGATCTAAATTCTATTATTTATTTTCCCTAGGTTCTCAAAACCGCTGCCCTGCTGCGACATCGAGTGGATTTGCTTGAGAAGCAGTTTCAGACCGACAAGCTTACCAACGCCACAGAGGCGGAACTGCAGACCATCCGTCACAATATGCTGCACACCGACATCAAGCTGCCATACGCCTTCAAGATGGACACACTGGAGCGTCTCAATGAGACGCTCAAGAGAATCAAGGACTCTTCGCGCACAACTTTAAAGTAAGTGCCAAATCTTGCCAAGTTTCATAGTTTTACATCAAGTGAACTCTATAATAGGGAATTCGTCGAAGTGGAAATGCGCAACCTGCTGCAGGAGAAGCCTCTCGAAAGTCACCCTTTCATTTTGCACTACATCACCAGCTCGGCCCTCGTAGAAGAAATTCCGCTGCAGCGGGCCACCAAACTCTGTCCGGATCGGCCTATCCTGGTGGTCAGCATGTGTGACAGTGTGGTCAAGGCACGCTGCTGCGTACCAGCCAGCTGCATCGGTGACCAATTCAATGCATCCACCTGGCTGCAGTCTTTCGCGAACACGTTCGGTGGTCAAGTCTCTGCGCCCAAGGGTCAGGATCCTCGGACCGTGTGCAACATGAAGGCCCGGAGAGTCAGCAATCTGTTCGAGGAGCAGCTGGACCAGGCACTGGCCAGGCGAACGCTTTCGCCAAACTTATCTATAGGTTATTTCTAGTTGTGATCATCGCCCTCCAAAAAATGTGAGAGCTTAGAGCTTGGCCCTTTAATGTTTTCTATTGTGAATATAACGCGGAAACTGTTTAATCACTGATCACCACGAGCTCATCATATTCATCCTCATCCTCCTGCTGCTGTTCCACTTCCTCCTCTTCTTCGTGTTCGTTCTTCTGAATCAACAGACTGGAGTTCATCAGCTCCTCGAAGGCATCTGTATTGTCAGAGCTTTGATTGAAAAAGAAGCTCACACTAGCCAAAGGCTTCACTGGACTTGGAATCCTTGCGCTGAGGCGATGCTTTAGCTTGAATCGCTCCACTGGCGTCCTAGCTGGCTCGATGAGGTGTGAGGCCTTTCTAGCATTTCCGTTTACCAATCGATCAAAGCTGTCATCCAGAGATAACCGTTTGCTATGCGGAGGCGGTTGCTCCATTTGAGAAAGTTCTCTCTTATTTTGCGACTCCTCGTCGTCGCCAAGGCTCATCTGGGCCAGCCGCAAACTCAAATCTGCCGCCATCGGTTCGTAGTGCAACTGGTGTCCTTGGTGCTGCGTCAACAACTCTGGCCTCGTCTTGGGATTGGTTATGATGCCATTGACAATGTCGGACAGGTCAAATTCGGCCGCATCGCAGTCACTTTCCAGATCGGAGGGCAAGCACTTGGTGATGGGAGTGGAGCATTGCTGGCGCTCCTGTAAAGCTGAACTCTTGAAGGGAGTATTGCCACCTTCCTTGCCACGACTCAGGAATTGCTGCAACAAGGGTTGACCTGGTTCGGTTGTAGATTTTTTCTTTCGGACAACTCGCTTTGGTTTCGGCTTCGGTCCTTGTTCCGTCTCATTCTCCTTATCATCTTCTTGTGGAGCAGTTTTTTTCTTTCTCGTTGTTTTCTTGGCAGGCTTCTCCTTGGACTTGAGGAAGGCAGCCACCAAGTCCGGATAGGCCTGCTCCATCATATCCAACGGTTCGATGGTGTAGAACAGCTCCTCGATTCCTTTCGGATGCTCCAGCTCAAACTCGGATAGCTGTTCGTCGGGTATAAGACCCTTAAAACTCCCGCTAGGATCGTGCCATTGCAGCTCCAGGCTGGCCACGCCCTTGACGGTGCGCTTTTTAATGATTTCTAGCGGCTCAATAAGAGCCTTCTCCCGCGTCGATTGCTGCACCTGCCAACGCGTTAGAATGGGGAAGAACTTTTGGAAGCAGTAGATTTCCGGCCATTGCAGAAGATGCCCAATTTGCTTGATGAACTTGACGAGATTTGGTTGCCGCCAGTTGAGGTTGATGTTTGGGATGGTGGCCGGCTCGCTGAGGAACTCAGCAATGATCTCTTCGTTGGGAAATTCGGGAGCTAACAAGGCCTTCCGGCGCAAGGCAAGTTCTGCCTTTATGGACAAACGCTGTTCTCTGCGGAGATGTATGGTTTAAATAGAAGAAGACCGTCTTAGGGTATGGCTTACTTCCAAAGGCTTTCATCGCAACCTCGATGGGTTCGACACACACTGCAGCCGCTCCTGGTGTGGCTCTGGGTCTTCCCTAAGTGCCCGCAGTTGCTGCACACAGACTTGTCGTCCACACGAATCTCGAGGGCATTGTATTTGTTGGTCTCCTGCCGCCAGTTTCGCAACCTAAAACGGGGATAATGTTGTGAACTAGCTAAGGCAGATACTTGACGTACTTACCTGTCCAGAATCTCAGTCTCTTTGTACTTGTTGAAGAGCTTCAAGACGCCATCCTTGCCAATGCCACCAATGCCATCGGGGCAGTAATCACATCCGCAGAGCAAAGCCATCACAATAATTTTATGCTGACCAAAGTCCATACGGGCTGTGATCTCCCTCATATCGTAGATGTCCACAGCACCTCCGGCTGCTGCCTGAGCTCCTTGGGTGGACACCGAGAAGTTGCGATAGACCCGAACGGCTCCATAAGCAAAGCAATCCGAGTCCTGGCTAATGACGCCGTCAACTAACTTAAGGGAAATCGATTTAGAGAGGTAATATTAAAAGAAATGTTCATCCAACTCACCCCATGCTTGTTGAGAAAGGCGCAGTAAGCCTCCGCTTCGCCAGGTCCTTGGACGCACTGGATTCCCATTGAAAGCAGCAGTGTTTCGCACTGTTTGAGGACATGATTGAACCTGGTGCGGCCCTTGTCACCCTTCGGAGCTTGGGAGCTTCCTGCGGTAGCTTCCTTGGGCTTAACGCCTCGAAATTGGAGCTCATTCCGCTTGGCAATAACCTGGCTCTTGAGCTTTGGAGCAACTCCCTCTAAAACGAAGACGGGCGTGACCTTCTCCCAAATCAGATAGCAGGTGCGAAAGAACAGGTTTCTGTAAGGTTTACAAATTATTTGAAACTAAATAATAATAAGTATTTTAAGTGGAATCAAACTCACTTTAAGTGGTGCCGCGGATGCACAAAGTAATCCACAACGTTAAGGGACTCGCACACCCAGCCGGCCAAGTCGATGGCCACCTTCTTGCCCCGCAGCTCATTGATGGGCTTGCGTTCGGCGTGGGGCGTAAGGACAGTCCACAGTTCCTTGACACCCATAAAAATAAACAAAAAATTAAAATAAAAGCGCGATAAATTTGCGAAAGTATTTCAAACAGCTGCTACCTCTTCCCGTCACGGCCATTCACAACGAAACGCATACCGATAGTTGCCTTTGTTTTGACAGTAGGAATAGCACGCCTGCGAATGGCCAGTGGTCAGCATTCTTCCTCTTCCACATCGACGTGTCAAACGAAAGAAAGTCCAAAAAATATAAGTTTTCTGCCTGTTTTTGAAATAATCGCAGAGCCCGATAAAATTCAGAGGCTGCCAATAGTTCATACGCCACAGCACCCACACACACCACCAGCAAGATGGTTCTCGCGGATTTGGGGCGGAAGATAACCACCGCGCTGCACTCGCTCAGCAAGGCGACGGTCATCAACGAGGAGGCGCTTAATGCGATGCTGAAAGAGATTTGCGCCGCCCTCCTGGAGGCGGACGTGAACATCCGGCTGGTGAAGCAGCTGCGCGAGAACGTACGCGCCGTGATTGACTTCGATGAGATGGCCGGTGGTCTGAACAAGCGCCGCATGATCCAGTCTGCCGTCTTCAAGGAGCTCGTCAAACTGGTGGATCCCGGGGTGAAGCCCTACCAGCCCATCAAGGGCAAGGCGAACGTGATTATGTTCGTGGGCCTGCAGGGCTCCGGAAAGACAACCACGTGCACTAAGCTAGCCTATCACTACCAGAAGCGCAACTGGAAGTCGTGCCTCGTGTGCGCGGATACCTTCCGTGCCGGCGCCTACGACCAGATCAAGCAAAACGCCACCAAGGCGCGCATCCCCTTCTACGGCAGCTACACGGAAATCGACCCAGTGGTCATTGCCCAGGAGGGCGTCGACATGTTCAAGCGCGAGGGCTTCGAGATGATCATCGTGGACACATCCGGGCGGCACAAGCAAGAGGAGTCGCTGTTCGAGGAAATGTTGGCGGTGTCGAATGCCGTCAGTCCCGACAACATTATATTCGTGATGGACGCCACCATTGGACAGGCTTGTGAGGCCCAGGCAAAGGCCTTCAAGGACAAGGTAGACATCGGTTCCGTCATCATCACCAAGCTGGATGGCCATGCCAAGGGTGGAGGTGCCTTGTCGGCCGTGGCTGCCACTCAGTCGCCAATAATCTTCATCGGTACTGGCGAGCACATCGATGACCTGGAGCCCTTCAAGACGAAACCCTTTGTGAGCAAGTTGCTAGGCATGGGTGACATAGAGGGTCTGATGGATAAGGTGAGTTGACGGTGAACAATTTCCCATTTTCAACTTTCTTGGTTCGCAGGTCAATGAGCTAAAGCTGGACGGCAACGAGGAACTCCTCGAGAAGATCAAGCACGGACACTTTACCATCCGTGACATGTACGAACAGTTCCAGAACATTATGAAGATGGGCCCATTTTCGCAGATCATGAACATGATACCCGGCTTCTCGCAAGATTTCATGACCAAAGGCGGGGAACAGGAGTCGATGGCAAGGATCAAACGCATGATGACCATGATGGACAGCATGTCAGACAACGAACTGGACAACAGAGACGGAGCGAAACTGTTTAGCAAGCAGCCCAACCGCAGCATTCGCGTGGCCCAAGGTGCTGGCGTCCTGGAGCGCGAAGTTAAGGAGCTGATTGCCCACTACACCAAGTTCGCAGCGGTGGTCAAGAAGATGGGCGGCGTCAAGGGCCTGTTCAAGCAGGGCGACATGACCAAGAACGTGAATCCCAACCAGATGGCTAAGCTCAACCAGCAGATGGCTAAGATGATCGATCCACGGATGCTGCAGCAGATGGGCGGCGTAGGTGGACTCCAGAACATGATGCGACAGCTGCAACAAGGTGCGGCGGGCGGACTAGGCGGCCTGGGGAACCTGATGGGCGGCTTTGGCGGCAAGTGAGCCTGATGACGGTGTGGCGTGTAAATTTAACGATTTTTATATATGATTTTGTTTCCGCGTAGTTCGTAATTTGTTAGCCATTGTTTCCATTTTGTCCAAGGCCACAAAAATTGATATCGGATGTGTGGGACCGAATATAGCATATAAATAGCCTATGTGCAAACGTGCAAACAGTTAACAAATTCGGTTTTGTACGGCTCCAGCAGCCACAGTGTCAGTTTTTATAGCTTAAACAGTTTTCTGTACACGAACTAATGGAAGTTGCATATGCCTATAAAAAATTCCGGAATGGCAGTTGAACTAGATATAAACAATAAATAAATATTAATTGAAATTGGCATAAGATCTGGTTTTTGCAATTTTAAATGGGATAACAAGGTGGTCGTGCTTTTCGATGCATATTGTAAGTGTATCGGTTAATACAACTAACAAATATTATAACACCTGCCAATCTATTATTAATTTTTTTATAAATATAATACTTTTTTTAAATTAATTAGGATAAGAAGATACAAGATATAAATTGGATCGATTTACCAGTCACAGGTCGCCAGCTGATATTGACAACAGCGCCTCATCTCCCTCTCTCGCCCACTCCGCCATCCATCATAGCTGAGCGACCTCTCCCGGTGGCCGCTGGAAATTTGTTCTATGTTAATTTACACTCTCCTCTTCGGATGAGAGCAGATCTGTGAATTTATTTTACTTCCCACATGGGAATTCTACTCTGGAAAGGCCTGTAATGAATAAGCAGAAGCACCTAATCCAATCAAACTGCTTTGTCAAATTCGGGTACTTATTACCGACCGTTTCACTGCTTTATCAAATTGAGTTCTCTTTTTCCGACGAGAATTCTTCTCCATGTATCTGTTGACGTGTACGTGTAAGACGTAAAATGTTAATGGGGCTGTTAAATTCCAGGGGCAAATTTCAGCAGTGCAAAAACGAAAACGAAAGGGAAAACATGTACTCGCATCGAGATCGGTGAAAATATAGTGAAACGCGGAAAAACTACGGCGGAAAAACAGTGGCAAAGTGCTAGTGATGTAAAAGTGAAGTTAAAACTGTTATTAAAATGAGGGCACAGCCTTAAACAGCCCCAAATCAGAAGCCGGTCATTTCTTCACTTAGCACCGATCAGTGCCGTTTGTTTTGGCCAGTTCCTTTTGTTGTTTTTTATTTTTGTGGAGAAAATGCGTGAGGGTGCGCCATACCGTCAAGTAATTAGGTATTATTTAGCGAAAAACACACTTCATAACTCGCTATTGGGATCTGCAGCAACAACAGTTCAAGCGGGTGAGTGAGACAAAAGATTTTCCATTTTTCTTTTATCCTCGCAATTCTTTGCCTTCGCGCGCGCATTTTTTTTCGATGGCCGTTCTCGGCCTGGAAAGTAGAACCTGAGAGCGAGAGAGCCACTTGACCCTTACTTGTGGTTGTCAATTTTGACATTTGGAAAGTTGGAAAACAAACTGCCTTTGTTTACCTTTTTTTCTTTTTGGCAGTGGCTTTGTTTACCTTCTTTTAAGCCAAAATAGCATTAATTTTGATTCGGAAAGCTTTTCTGTGCAATTCTTTATAGCACTAACAAATCTGCATACTGGTTTTGTTGATGCTTTTATACGTTTCTGACTAAAATTGTAAAAACCCGCAAAAAGGTATAAAAACAGACAATTTTTCCGAAAAATCATAGTTTAAAAAAACTCATAACTAAGCCAAAAAATCATTAATTTTAATTCGGAAAGCGGTTCTATGCTAGTTTTTAGCAGATTAACAAAGCTGCATACTCAGTTTTCAAATTTAAAAAATTCAATTTTTTGCCAAATTTTGGCAATTTTAATGATGTAACCCCTTATAAAATTTTCAATTTTCGGAAAAATGTGAAAAATTTATTTTTCGACCGGACATGGCTAGAACAACTGGGCTGTTGATGCTGATCAAGAATATATATGGTTTATAGGGTCGGAAAAGACTACTTCACTGCGTTTTAATCTTCTGACTGAAGCTATACTCTGCAAAAAGGTATAAAAACAGACAATTTTCTTAAATTATCTTAGTTTTCCAAACATCATAATTAAGCCAAAATAGCATTAATTTTGATTCGGAAAGCTTTTTTGTGCAAGTCTTTATAGCACTAACAAATCTGCATACTGGTTTTGTTGATGCTGTTATAAGTTTCTGACTAAAATTATAAAAACCCGCAAAAAGGTATAAAAACAGACAATTTTTCCGAAAAATCATAGTTTAAAAAAACTCATAACTAAGCCAAAAAATCATTAATTTTAATTCGGAAAGCGGTTCTATGCTAGTTTTTAGCAGATTAACAAAGCTGCATACTCAGTTTTCAAATTTAAAAAATTCAATTTTTTGCCAAATTTTGGCAATTTTAATGATGTAACCCCTTATAAAATTTTCAATTTTCGGAAAAATGTGAAAAATTTATTTTTCGACCGGACATGGCTAGAACGACTGGGCTGTTGATGCTGATCAAGAATATATATGGTTTATAGGGTCGGAAAAGACTACTTCACTGCGTTTTAATCTTCTGACTGAAGCTATACTCTGCAAAAAGGTATAAAAACAGACAATTTTCTTAAATAATCTTAGTTTTCCAAACATCATAATTAAGCCAAAATAGCATTAATTTTGATTCGGAAAGCTTTTCTGTGCAAGTCTTTATAGCACTAACAAATCTGCATACTGGTTTTGTTGATGCTGTTATAAGTTTCTGACTAAAATTATAAAAACCCGCAAAAAGGTATAAAAACAGACAATTTTTCCGAAAAATCATAGTTTAAAAAAACTCATAACTAAGCCAAAAAATCATTAATTTTAATTCGGAAAGCGGTTCTATGCTAGTTTTTAGCAGATTAACAAAGCTGCATACTCAGTTTTCAAATTTAAAAAATTCAATTTTTGCCAAATTTTGGCAATTTTAATGATGTAACCCCTTATAAAATTTTCAATTTTCGGAAAAATGTGAAAAATTTATTTTTCGACCGGACATGGCTAGAACGACTGGGCTGTTGATGCTGATCAAGAATATATATGGTTTATAGGGTCGGAAAAGACTACTTCACTGCGTTTTAATCTTCTGACTGAAGCTATACTCTGCAAAAAGGTATAAAAACAGACAATTTTCTTAAATAATCTTAGTTTTCCAAACAT